TAGCAATACAGCAACAATCCAGTATGTTATGATTATTTATCAATGGCTGAGATTGGTAGCGACAACATTTGTATTGTAATATTCTGGCGAGGTCTGTGGACTTGATACTCGATTTATTTATAGACAGATGATTATGATTGTATTATGCATGATTTGGCACGAAACTGGTTAAATGACGGAACTTGGGCATCAGCAATCATTGGACCTGAATGTCTAAAGGCCATAAAAATACTAAGATGGTCCATTCGATATCTATGGGCTAATATCCATGAAAATTTGTGCGTTATTCTCGTCTGTTTTTTATGGCTTTTGGTGAGTGTTTACGGGGCTGTTTGATTACGGGCTAACATAGGGAAATTTTATTTAAACTTTTACTTTTTTGATGGACTACAAATGAAAATTTGGGTCATATTTGAATCAGGTCACATCGAAGTCTAACTCTCGCTTGTTTTCTATTGATTCTATTGTTTCTATGCAAACTTTAGCCACATTAGCGTTAGACCCTTGGGACCTAATTGGGACATGAATTTATTCATTTATTCTGTTTCTGAAAACACCCAGAAATCGTGTGTACTGTGTCAGTTGGTGGTGTATATCAATATAAATCATCTTTGGTTGTCCAACAACTGACAGCCAAACTCTTAATGTATACAAATCATATTTTCCAGTTTCAGTGCATACTTTGAATCCTTCGACATCCTTTCGAATCCTTCACAACCCACAATCCCAAAAGCATCGCCCAATTCACGTAGCAAATCACTTTACAACTGTCAGACAAACAATGCCAAAAACTGATGGCCAAAATCGGATTGAGAGAGGGCCAAAAAGGATGTGTGTGTGTGTGAAGGGGGGGTCATTCGAAAGATATCCCTCACCGGATCCTGTCCAGGCATTTGACTTTATCACGCAAATTGATTGCTTTGACCCGAAACGATTGACGAAATTTGATTGATAACTTATTAAGTTGTCCATTGTCTTTCTGCGTGTATTGTGGGTGTGGGTGTGGCTCTGCCATCTCTCTTTCTTTTCTGCAAGCTGGCCAAAAGTTTGGAGGCCAAAAGCTGGCACGCATGAGTGAATGCTTAATAAAGATAAATATACAAGATGCCAGTTGGTAGTCTCATCCTAATATCTCTGCACTTGCCCGGCAGCAGATTTGGGCCTGTAAAAAAATAACAAATCCCCCACGAATATATCACATTTGCCTCAGCTCATATATAAAGAAAAAACACATTCCAGTTAGCTCGTTGAAAAATATATACATATATTTTTTTCAAAAACCGCCCAAAGGCCAAGTAAGACCCGACAGCAAGGAAATTATTGGCCGGACCTGAACACAAAATACAAAAAAAAAATTTACTTGAGCATCAACAACAAAAAAATGCTAATTCAAAACAAGCAGATTTTGCGGTTTATGCAAATGTCCCACAGACAAGACCAGATCAGACCAAGTCGAAAACCAAGACCCAAACAAGTCGTAACAGCAAAAGCAACAGCCACAAAAGATGCCTCTGGTCTGTATATCGTTGTGTTAAAAATATATAAAAATAAATAAAGATTTAATGTTTACCAAGTAGAAGAGAGTAAATGCCAGGCGGCAAAAAGTAAATTGCCATATACTCCCATACAACAAAAAGCTATAAATGATGAAAACACAGGATGACTCGAGAGTACTCCCTTTAATCTTATGTCCAACAATGAAATCTAAGAAGCTTAACTGCAATTGCCGAACAAAATATTTTGCATGCTGGGAGGATGTAAAAATAAACTTTTTAAAACCTCAATGGAGAGCTGTTAGTGGAAATGGATTTAATTCCTGAGTGCCAGAGGCAAATTAAATTTGCTTTGTAGATTTAATTAAAGCCAGCATCCGCATTCTAGTAATAAATCATATTACAGCATTTCTATCAAGTAACCTATACGTATTTTTGGCCAAAAGGAAAAAAAGTATATATATTGGCAAGTAGACAAAACAATTTTGTATTTTTTTGTTGTCCAGCTGGGTCAGACTTTGCAGTTCAAGGCTATTTGGACATGGCCCCAAGTCACAGAGAAAAAAGTTTAAAACATCAGCCAAGATAATGCCAGAAATGCCTTTCCTACGACTGCTGGAGCTACTTTTTCGTCCTCTTATGTTTATTTAACACATACACAGACTTAAACCTTAACATATAAAAGCCAAAATGAGTTCGGGCCAAAAGCAATAATTCATTTTGACCTCCCTTCTGACGGAAAACCTTTCTCCTCCCCGTCCTATCGCCTTCAAATTGAATTCAAGTTTAAACATCATTTGGCTATTTTCAAATTGGAACGATTTCTCGCATATATGTTTGTATTTCTCCGCCACAGAGGGGTTCTAGCCATATTGATTACATTTTATTTATTTTTTTTTCCTTTTGGCCAAACAACAATTTTGAATTTGTGTTCATTAGTTTGGTTTGATTTATTTTTTGCCAATTTCTCTTACCAATCGTTATTTGCCTATTTGGAAGTTTTTTTTTTGCTTGCTGCACTTAATGTGCAAAACCATTTAAAAGTTTTTACCAAAAAAATTCTATTTATTTTCAGCTCAATTTTGTTTGCAATGCAAATATTTTGTGTTCTGAGATGATACAAAAGTATTAACAAGAAATTCGAAAAGAAAAATTAAATCTATTTAGTATTTATGGATAATCTGAGATTGGGGCTTCTGCAAATTGATTTTTTGCTAAAGTTTAAAACATGTTATACTCTAGCTTTGGTGTATCTTTCTAGCTTTAACCAAAATAAGCAGTATTTTTTAAATATATTTTAAATATTTGATTAGTCCTTTCCGTGGCTTAACAATTAGGAAGCAAAAAAAAAATAACTTTTCTGTAGGAATTGTGGAATTTTTGGCCATCCAACTTTTCCGTGCTGGACAACAAAGCCGCAGAATGGAAATGCGGGCGGAAAAGGCTCCCCTCTATATGTACATAGATAGTTCTGTGGCCGAAACACCCACATGCTATAAATAATTTTCATGCACAACTAAAGTTTCACGGTATTTGTTTTTTTTCTCGTATGAAAAATAAAAAGTTTTCACAGAGCTTCTCTACCCTCTATCAATATTAATCAAGTTTTATCTCTGGTTTTCTTTTCAGGTATGTCTGCAAACTTTTTAAAGCGTTAAAATATTGGTAATTGGACTTCGTCTGAAATCTGAGTGCCGCAATCGAAGTTGCCGCCTCGATGTGGGTAAGTGAGACGTGGAAATTGGCTCAACAATTTGGCTCAAGCTCAACACTTTCTTTGCCCTCGACTCCCCCTGGAAGCCAACAACGCCTCCTTTTGGCCGCCCACTCCAAATGTGACCTTCAAAGAGCGACAACAATGGCTTGTCTTCTTCCCAAGCATCTTGACTGATATTTTTTTTGGGTCATTTCCGTGATTTGGTTTTTGGCTTTTGCTTTCCACGATGTCGAGATCTAGAGAGACTTCCGTCTTGGCCTTGCCTTGCACTCAGACCCCCCACCGATCCCCATCTCGAGTGTTTACTGTTTACACTCATTTTCGTTTAAATTTGCATTTTAATTTATTTGCCCGATGTCTTTGTTTTCCTTTCTGTTTGCTTCTTTTCTCTTTAGTTTTTGTTATTTTTTCCCTTCTGTGGTGTCCATTGCACAATTCATGAAGTTGCAGTTGACGTTATTGCCGCTTTTGTCCTAGCCTCCCCCCTCTCATGGGTGGTGCTTGTTTTTTAAAAAATTACACAGAGAAAATTTACTATTTTTTTTTTATAAAAAAATGCATTTTGAGAAGCTTAAAGTTATATATTAAAAAGGGTATAGAACTTACTAGAGTTTGTTTTTAAAGCTTCTTTATAGGCAGGTATTAATTCCTCTTACGGTTTTCAATAATCTTTCTTATAAATATCCTTGCCTTGAATAAATAACAAAAAATGGAATTACATTATTAAAAGCTTTATAATTCGAATATTATTTTAATAGCTTTATTTTTCTGTGCCTGTCGATTCTGTGCTATTATATTGCTACTGCTGTTTGGCAACTCGGTCCATTTCTGTTTACTATTCGGCTTTTTTTTCGCCTTCCGGCTTCGAACGATTTACTTGCTATTTATGCACTGACCTGTTTTCATTGCACTTTTGTTTTTGTCTTTATTCCACTCTCTAATTAATTTAAAGGTCATTTACAAGACTTTACTGGCATACACTTGCTTTTACCATAATCTTAAGAACCACTAACTTGAAACCGGTTCTTAACTAATAAATGGCTGCGATTCTGTTACAGAAACAATTTTTACCTATTTAGTTATGTCAAGTATTTGGTTTAAAAAACCTCAACCTTTCAGTTAACATTTAAATAAGGTTAAATGACATTTTTGCCATAACTTTGTAGTCATTTTCTGGTCTGTTCTTTGTAGAAAAAACATAAACTGGAATTTATACGTATTTATTTCTGTCATGCTAGGGTCCTGTTTATTTGTTTAAATTTATGGCAAATTTATGCATTTAATCGTTGGCCTATTAAAATGAGTCCTGACAGCCCATTGAGGTTGTTCGTTTTATGCCGGGAATCAGGAACAGAAATAAACTCTTTGTCGGTCAGAATCATAAAAAATGTTTATCAATCCCAGCCACAGGCACGCATCGTTTGCACGAATGCGTTTTTCAAAAATTTAAATGGAAACCAAAGTGGAAATAAATTCTTATGTTTCCTTATATTTTTTTTTAAATAAATACGTATAGTATTTATATGTATGTAGATAACAACATCAATTAAAAACGTAAAGTAAAAAGTGCAATTAATGATAATTTCAAAGTGTCGGGCACAGCCATGAAAACTTGAAAATTAATGCTCTTGACCAGAAAGTCCATTAACATAAATCGTTTACGGCCAACATATTTGATTGGGAAATGGATGATTATGCCGAGATGATATGAATATTAAATATGAAAAAATACAATACCTCTTCAAGTTAATTGAATTTTCGATCCTCCAATGATAACTCTTCACAATATTTTGTTTAATTTTAATTTTTTGTACAACTTCACATCTTTTTAATTTTGTTGGAGTATTTTGATAAAACAAAGCTGTTACAATTCTGTGTTTTTGTGGGGGGTAGATGAAATCAATAATTGTGCTTCCTATTTCCAGCCAGTGTTCCTCTTGGAGAGCACCACCTTCTGCATGTGGTCCTCGTGGGTGTGGGTGGTGTGGCTGCCGCCGGCATGTCGCGGGGTGCACTTCACCATGGGCACACCTTTGGTCCAGGCACTGGTGGCGTGCGGGAACTCGTCCTTGCGGTAGTAGCCCATGATGCCCGACTTCCGGATGTTGCCCAGTTCGTAGGTGACAATCGGTCCCAGGCCGGTGGAGCCTTTGGCCGTGGGCAGGGACGGGACCTTGGACCGCTCCACGGTGCGCATCACACAGGTGGTATCGCAGGACAAGCAGGCCAGCTCCTGCATGACCTTCACCCTTCCGGCGGCGGCGGCACAGTCGTCGTTGGTCATCTCCATGTACTTCTGCAAGGCCTCGGCGATCATGTGGACTCGCTTCTCGATCATCTCGCGGAAGTCCTTGAGGCTTAGCTCCAAAGCATCGATGCCCAGGGTCATGCGCAGATTGTCGATGATCTGCAGGACGTTCTTCTCGTTGAGGCTGATGATGTGCCGCACCTCGCAGAACATCTTCTCCAGCCTGGCCTTGTACTCCTCCAGCTGCTCCAGGGACACCTTTGTGGCCAGTTGCTGGAAGTCCACCTTCTCGGCCAGCAGCAATTCCACCTCGTTCTTGTCGATCTTCACTTCGTCCAAGTGGGCCACGGACTTCTTAAGGATTACGATCTGCGTGGTGGCATCATTGAGGCGACTCATCATGGTGGAACTGGACTCCTTATTCCCGGCCACATAGAGCTTGATATCCCGCACAGTGTCTTGCAGCTCCCTCATCATCTCCATCAGACGCTGGGAGTCCTGCTTAAGAAGGGCCGCCGCCAGCTCGTTGACCTTGTTGGTCAGAGCACAGAACTGCGACTTGAGGTCCAGCAGCTCGTTGAGCATTTTGTCGGGGGAATAGCACAGAGTCGGCTCCAGTCCCAGCTCCTGCTCCTCCTCGGGCTTTTCCAGTTCCGTGGGCGTCGAGCTCTCCGGTACCTCCTCCTCCATCATCTCCTCCTCCTCGACCCCGTGAATCTCGCCACTGCTCCAGCTTACCGACACTTCATCTCCTGTCATCATAAGAACTCTCAACTGCTTGGCAATGTTGCGCAGAACCTTGATCCTCTGCGGGTTCGGCTTGCGATCGATCAGCAAGTGGGTCACATTGTTCACCTGCTCCATGGTCAGCTTGAGCTGCCCGGTCAGACTGGTCACGAACTGTTGCATCTCCATGGAGGCCTGCTCCTTCTGCAACTCCATCTTGGACACACGACGCTCTAACCGGCTAACATTACCAATCGATCCATCGAGCCGGGTGTGAGACTTATCGCGGGTCGAGGAGCGCGAAGACACCCGCGAAGCCAGAGGCACCCCTTCCAGCGACTTATCATCGCCTCCCTTGCCTTCTGCATCTTGAGCCTCCTGTTCTGGCGCCGGGGTGGGGGCGCCAGTTTCTACTGGTTCTGGTTCTGGTTCGGGTGCGGGTGTTTCTGCGGGTGGCTGTGGCTCTGGTTCTGGTTCGGGTGCGGGTGTGGGTGCCGTCTCGGCAGCCTCCGGTGCCGCTGGTGCCTCCTCCGCCGGCGGTGGTGGTGCTGCCTCCTCGGCGGGTGCCTCCTCAGCTGGTGCCGCCTCACCTTCAGCTGGGGCCTCCCCTTCGGCATCGGCACCGGCAAACAGACGAAACTTTGAGGGTTTGCCCAAGGTCACTGTGGGGGCAGGATTTAAATATAGATATTAAAGGTAAGACCTCTTAATACTCACAGAAGCTGCTCTGCATCCGTACATTAGCCACCATGTAGTCCTCCTGCTCGACAACTTCATCCAAGACGTCCAATCGCTGGGCAAAACACGTTAGTAGAACATGCAAAGCATAAAAGTTAACATGGCCCGACTCGGGTGAGCCAATGGCCACGTCAATGAGTTCTTTGTATGTGAAAGTCATTGCTGTTTTGGGGAAGTGCTCGAATTTTGTGGCAATTCTCTCAGAAGCGAGCCAAGAAATTTTTCCTTTCGAATGCGATACAAATACCAAAATATGAGAAATAAAAATGTTTAACTGAACTGAATGATGCAAGGGTGTAGAACAAATTTGTTGGAAAAATTTGATGGAAAATTCAGGGGACCTTTTGTTTTGAGAGTCTCCCAAAAGTTTGACACTAGAATTACTAATGTCTAGATTAAACTGCCAGCTTAACAAATTAATTAAACCACAATTACTTAAATACCAACCGATAAAAAATAATGTTATTAGTTATGGTCGCTTAAATTGGGCAACGCAATCTTGTTTATGTTCCGCCGACTCGATTATACATAATTATGCTCAGACAACGTGTGGGTTGCGCTTTCCTAAAGCTCCGTTTCTGTTTTTCTGCGAAAGCGCTTCACAGCTATTAGGGCTTAATTAATTTTTACACCATTTTGTGTTTAATATTTGTTGCCCTGGCAGTTATTATGATTGCGTTCGTTTAATGAACATCATCAGAGCGGTTAAGTTTCATTTTTATGTGGCCACTGTGTGTGGTTAGCTGCTCTGAGATGCAAAATGCTTGGAAAGATGATGCAATCATGCCCCACAGAAGCAAGACTTAACTTCCAATTCTATTGAGACATTTCGACTAGAATTAATGTTTCAATTAGTGGTAAGAAGGTCGAAGGAGAACCTGAATTTTGCCGGTAGCCAGATTTATGGCTCTAACGTGAGATTCTGGCTTCTGGGTGAAAATTTAAGCCACCTATCGCAGAGCACGTAAATACAGCCTCAGCTGGGTGAGGCGGAGAAAAAATAAAAATAAAAAAAAGGAAGGATAAGCTAGGAGTGGAAATCCCATTTGTCATGACTCGACTCAGCAATCGAGAGGTAGTCAATGTTTGTGGCCCCGTAAAATCTAATTTAAATGCAAACGCAAATGTCAAAAATTGTAGAATTAAAAATCACATACGGTTTGATTCAGTCAGACATGCAGCGTTCCGACACATTCCAGTTACGTTTCAACTATTCCCAGAAAAGGGCGAATATAAAAAAATAAAATCCTCCGATAGACGTATGGGGCGTATACGCAACATATTTTTCAGCAAACTGTCACATCGCGTAAACGCAATCAGTCGGCAGCCAGTCAGTCAACAGGATGCCACATATTGGTAAAAATTCGCACTGATAGTAAAGTTGACACACAAAAAAGAGGAGACCTGTAAAGGGATAGAATAACAAGATACTTGGACTATTAAATACCTTTTGAAATATTCCATAAAACAAGTAATAACTACTTTGATTTATGATACTCTTCTATTTTGACTGCCATTTTAGACAGAATATTCTTTTCAAAAAAATATATTTCTATAATTTTAATATTCCATTTTCGACTAAACAGTATCCCTGCCAGGGTATTTGTATATTTTGCGAAAATCCTTTGCCATCAGCAAGATGCGTTTGAAATGTTTTTTTCATCCAATGTCAATTGTGTTTATTAAACTGTGTGTGGCCATCAAAAGCAAACATTTTTTCACCGATGGCAAGCTAAATTTCATCAATATCAAATTCTGAAAAAATATGAAGAAAGCATTTGGTTTCCGTTTTCATTAGATTATAAGCTTTATGATGTTGAAAAACCCAATAAATTGCAAAAAGTTATGAACGAGTTTGGGGGGGAAAAATATTTGCCATAAGTAGAATTTCATATAAAATGTAACTTTAATTTATGCGCTGAAAGGCAGACAAGAACTGCATCTCAGGTTGCCTTCCGCAGCTAAGAAGTTGACAAAAAACTCAGACAAAATACCCAGACATACTCATGTGCCGAAAAACGGAAACGGAAATATGCGCAATTTCTCAACAAGACAATGTCTGGAAGAAGACAACCCAAGACAGGGGATAGGAAAGGACATGGAGTAGGAAGTTGTCCTTGTCATTTTCATTTCTTAAACTTTTCTCGAAAAACTGTTCAAGTTTTTACTCACTTTGAGCTTGAGTTTGAGTTTGGCTCCGATGTTTCTTTGTCTTGGGTAGATTTTTAATATCAAGTGGGATTTGTCGAAGGAAACTTTATATAATTATGCAAGTGCCTGATAAAAGTGTGTGCCAACCATTTATGCATAATTAAAACTTGATTATGCGGTTATCCTTAGCCTTACAATTCAACATCATCATGGATGTGGTATTCCATGGTAACTATCATTGCTGTAATGTACTCTCTGATTTATTTGATCTTCCAGTTGAACAAATTTACTTTATTTATCGTTTATTGTTGATGCTTGTGTCGGCAAAATAAAATGTTCTTTTTCGAGTATTTCTCCAGTTGTCAGTTAATTGAAAGCAAAGCCTTTTTCAAACTGTTGAGCAATTAGAAACGATTTGCTTACATTTGCATTTACATTTGCCAATATATAGTACAAGTAGTATCTCCCCAGAGTCGCCTTCTGCCCACTGTCTGGTTCATAAATGTAATTCTCCCCCGTCAAAAGCCAAGTCAAATGCCAGCCACTTGACTTCTGAGGCCGGAAATTCTTTCTTTCGTTGTAAGCCTCGCAGCAAGAGGCCGAAAGAAAATAAAACTTTGCTGGCTGGAAGCTCTGGCTGGAGGAAATCTCAGCTGGGTGCAAACAATGGTCTGCGATAAATGGCAAAGTCGCAATAACATTAACCGTTAGCAGTGCCTCTGTCTCCACTCCAGCCATGGCTGGGCCCAAAAATGTGCCATCTGACCCAATTCGTAAAACGCTTGCGTTCCCATAGCCAAGTTGGAGCTCAACTCTTTCAACGGATTTTGATTGAATCGCAGCAGCAACACAAACGATAGCTACCTTATATGGAGCACACAAACGCATGAAGACAGACAGGAAGATATTACACTGAGGGAAAATAAGCTTATTATTTTAGTAATAAATATTCCTATTATTATCTTAAAGATTCATAGGAATTTTAGACCAACCTTTTAAGAGATATTTCAACTCAATTTTGATTTTCTAAAACCCTTTTGTTTTCTGTGTAGGTTTCGTGCAACTTTTAAGCAGCCCATGGAGGCACTTATTCCACTTTGTCTAGCCCTGTCTCTTTTCGGCCACCTCTGCTTCTGTGGCAAGCCGCTGACGTAATTTACTTGAACATCGCCAAATGCATTTCCTATTAGAGATGGCCAAGTGGGTCTCTGGTAAACAGCCAGGCAGTAAGGTGCGTTCCATGTTACGCAAAAACCAAAATGGCAAAAACTGAAAATGGGTCAGTAGTGGAACGAGTTATGATGAGCCATAGATGTGCGACGACAGTGGAGCTATCTTTAATGATTTGATATTAAATATAAAATCTTTTTTTACTTTAAAGAGTATTTTGTAGTAGCTAGTAGTCCTCTACCTTTTCTAAACTATATCACAGCGAAAATCTAAACCGCAGTCAACTCTGGGTAAATGTTTGCGAGGCCAAGTGTTCCCCCTGGCCAACGGTGCGTATGTGTGTTTTTGTGTGAGGCTCTTGGCTCTCGGCACTCTACACTCGGCCCTCACTATTTGTTCGCCCTTGTTGTTCTGGTTGCTTTGGCGCTTCCAATTGAATTTCCAATCCCGCTGACCCGACCAATCCCGCTGGCAGCAAGTTTTTCAATTGCTTTCGTGGAGTGGAAAACAGCAAACTCCCTGGACATGTGCATTTCGCCGTGTTGACTTCGGGCTTTCGGCCAAATTTAATTAGCCATTAAAAATGAAGAAGCTGGCGCGTTGAAGCGGACACGCGCCGAATATTCTCCATAAATATGATGTCTGTTCTTCTGGCTTACAGATATACATGCGTATACGTTTATTATATTTTTTATCATTAAAAAATGCCGGTCCTCGCGGGTAATTTATATTTATGCCACATCGGTTGGACTGGTAGAGAAATTTACGCAGATTTCTTTGTGCTTCTTTTTGGCTCGGCACTTAAATTTATTTATGCTGATATGTGAGATTCGCTTCATCATCATTTCAGCTGCTGTGGCAGTGAGCTCCTTGCGCCCCTCCAGCGTCTGATTTTGCCACTTAACACCTTTCTGAAAGGCAGAAGCAGCTGCCACCGCCCCACCCAAGCCATGTTAATAAATGTCTACGCGCCCGGTCTCCATCCTGTCTTCGCAGCAGCAGCAGCCTTCTGACAGATGAGTTGATCTGCGTAGCCCCAACTTCGTCCTCGTCCAGCCCAGAGCTGGCTGTCTGTCCTGACTGAAAGGGGGAGCCAGGGATAGAGTGGTATTACAAACTTTTTAAGGCTTTAAGCTGCAGGAAGAACAATTCTCACCCAAAAGGCAAATATTTCCCTTTGCAAACAAAATAAAAGCATTGCAAGCCCGGTGTTTACACGACCTCATATCAATAATCCCATTTGGGAAGATTTTCTGGTTTTCATTTAAGTAACTGGAAAATCATTTGAAAATGGGGAAAGTAATACATGGAAATGGGATACGAATGTGGGGACTTAGAAGCAAAATATCTTTTAAATTATAGCCAAAGTTGTGATGGTGGTCTATTTCATTTCCTATACTTATTTTCTTGTATATCCAAAACCACAATCATCACATTAGTTAAGGCCACTTGGGCAAGCGGATGTTACTCAAACAAAAATCAGTAATCAAAATATTTTTTAAATGGCCAAACCCTGTTTAACATATTGCCATATAAACAGATGATTTCATCTAAGCCACAAAAAAAAAACAAGAAAAAATAAATAAATAAAAAACAATGAAGGCGTCCATCAGATGCCTCCACAAGAAAAAAATAAATTAATGATCCACCCATACATCATTATCCACCTCATACCTATGATACTTGGCCATCAAAGAGCGCTAATTGGTGGCAAACAATTGGCATCTTCAATTACAATTATTTACCATCACTTTGCCACGGGGCTCAAGTGGCAAGTACCCGGAGATCTGTTTTGGCGGCTAACCTTGTAACCTCCTCAGAGGAAGTGAGTGAGTGGAGTGGGTGACACATGGAGAGGGCAGGTAAAAAGCGCCTACAAACATTCATAATTTAAATTCATCTCCTTACTTATGCATACAACAACAGAAAATTTATAATAATCCGCTTAAGATGCGTGCCCTCCCAGATTGCAGTCACAAATATACTCGAATGTATGAGATTTACATACCGACATGTATTCGAGGTGGGGCTGCAGTTGACAACAACAGAAGAGAGGTGTGAAATATTTAAGAAAATTTGAAGTAATCCCACCTGTCTTAACGTGAATTTGTCGCCACTCAGGTTGTTGTTATTGCTGAGTGATGCTTAACCATGATTTAAGCTTAATTTTGGTTCTGAAGAGAGATTTTCAAAGTAAGGTTTAGGGAAATATATGAAATATTTTGTACCTCTTACTCCAGTTACTGCCTTTAAAGTTTTTTAATATATTAAAGAGCATTATTAAGTCTATTACTTTATTTAAATTTCCAAATTTTTTTCAAGTGATTCTCTTTTTATTGCTTACTTTTAATTATTGAGTTGTGAAACTTATAATCTTCCCAGTTCAGGTCGTTTTTTTGTCTTTTTTTCGCTTACTACGATGAATATGCAAATTGGTGCAGCTTTGTGGCGATGAAATGGATGGGTCTGGGAGCTGGTTACTTTGGCTACTACTGGCTGGCTGGATGGTGGCTCCCATGGATATCTTTTCATTCGCTATTATTATTTAAGGTCTCTGGCACTTGGCGAGGCTTTTGCATATTTTATTATTTTGAGGAGCGAATTCGGGCTAAATTATGGTCTGTGAGCGGCAGAGACGAAAGGAGTGCTTATCATTGCATTTTGTTGGCTGAATAATTCATATCCCAAACAGTAAGACATATATATATAGAATAAAAGAGAGTCCAAATGCAATCGTCTTGATTCTGGAAAAGGACTGGGATTTTTATGATTTTATTTTATGATCCTTCGACAGTTGGCTCAATAGAAAATTGAAAATCTCAACGAGTAACTCCTCGGACTTGTGTGTTTGCTATAATTCAATTTTCTCTGCAATATATATCTATGTGTGTGTATAAAAAAAGGGAAAACTTTCATTAAAAATTCAACTGCATCAGCAAAGATTGTAACATCGACCCAAACCAAAAACATGGACATACAAATAATAGGTGAACCACAAAACCGCCGGCAAATCGATTGGAAACGAACTTCACTTTTCACTCAACCATCCAGCCACCCACCCTCTGGCTTTTCTCCAATCAGACCATTTCATGCCAAATTGAATGCAAGAATTTAATTAAGTTTCTCTTGACTTTTTTCCAATATTATTTTATTGAGAACATAAATGTAAATGTGTGTCTGTGTGTATGAATATCCTTTTCAATATGTTTGGCTATTTTTTATGGACAATTTATTCTCTGATTTATTAAATGGCCATTCAATCCGCATAAAGAAAACGAATAATAAAATCATTGAATCAAGTTCTTGATGGCATCATAATATGATTCGATTTCATTAGGTGGCACAGGCAGGTCAGGTAATCCTTTAAACGTTTAAAAATCTAAGAAATCTACTCGAAATCCCCTTAAACCATTAAACGATAAGTTAGCCAAGTTAATTCTGAAAAGTCGAAGCCCTAAAATGGAAGTGGTATGTGGTAGGTGGTAGAACTAGGCACTAACCTGCAGTAGCAGATTCCCTGCATTTAAGCACCAGAAAGTGCAAGCAAAAGCCAGGCATTCCCATTCGCATTCACATAACTCCTGCCCTCAAATGCAGTAAATACAAATTTATTTTACACTCGAACATTTTTGGTTAAACAGAGAGGAGTGTGTGCGCCGAGGGAGGTGGCCTAAACAGAATAGTGTCGGAACATTGTTGCAGGCTTTACGAGGCAACAACAGGCAGGCTGGCAGGCAGGCAGCCTAGATGGCTGGCTGGCACTCACTACCACTACAAACATGTATACACAAAACAATTATTGCCCGTAGGTAATTTACTGGAGAAAACATTACCGGCAAACCCAAGAGCCAGCCAAGAAAACCAAGTAGGAGAAATGTTTTATGTCTTCGACGCCCCCTTTTGCATTTTTGGCCGGCGTGTGCGCTTAAAATAATTCCAGTTAAACATGGCCCACAATTTGCTTATGGCCCAGACTGGGAACTGCTCTCAAGTACCGCCCCAGGCCATGCCCTCCTTTGCCCCCCCTACCTACCGCTCACCACAAATTCCCCGTTGTATTTTTGGGCAATTGCCTGGCCAAAAGTTTGCTGGTTTAAGAAAAGTAGCAGAAGAGTTTTCCTCGCTTTCCTCGCCTGTCATTCAAGTTGGATTTTCAGGCGGATTTTCTCGCGTCTGGGAAAGTGATTATGTGATTAAATTTTAGACCAACATCACCAGAAGGTATTTCACTGTAATGCTGGAGTATGTAGTGTTTTAAAATTTTATTTTTTTTTTTACAATTATATAGCACCTATGACACCAATTAAGAGTAGAGTATATTAGATATACAGATTATATATTAATATATATTTCAGATATTTTTTTGCGCTTTTAGAATATTTTTAAAGAAAGGCTGTACTTTCAGTAAATGCCCCACAAAGTCTCAACTTTTCGCCAGTAACTATGGCCCTCATGAACTGCGGCCCCAAGTACAGGCCCTTTTCAGTACTCTTCGTATCCCCATCGAGTCGTATGATATAGTCCTTGCTTATCAGCCGCTCAGCCATGTCCTGCTCCAACTTGGGTATGAGTATATCGTACAAGGTGCCATCACCGGCTGCCGTCAGTCTTCGATTAACGATTGTGCAACAGTTCTCGTTCCTAAGGATCTCCTCGAACTGCTGCTTCACCTGGGGCAGCCCAATCCTCTTGGGACATCCCGAGAGCCTTTCGAAGCACTTGAATTGGTAGAAGCGACTCTCCAACTCTGATAGGTTATCCAAAATGTGCTTGATGGGAGGCAGATCATCCGAATGGGAACGGGACACTCTGCACAGATCACCCAGAAGTTGCTCTATCTGGGGGGTGAAAATATCCTCCACCTGGGCATTGCTGAAAATGTCCTAAAAGGATAAAGATTTGATGATTATTAATTAATTAAAAAATAAACTTTTATAATCACTCACTATAAGTTTAAGTATGGCAGAATGTAGTAGGGGAATTATAGTCAGATTGTAGATTTCGTGCATTTTTCGTGTCTCCATGTAATGAAGAACCTTCAAAGCCTCGTTGGTGTCATCGAAGAGTCTCTTCTGCCGGCTAACTGGAACAGCCTGAGCCTGTTCCCAAACCTTCAGCCAGGTGTTGCCCTCGGTGGTCATTCTTACACTCAATTGATGCTTTTTCTGTCCATTTTCTTGAATTAAATATAAATTATAAAGCAAAAATTGGTCTTTATTTATAAGTCTTACCATCTGAGACCTCCTCCCAGTCTTTGGGGCTGTACCAGCGTATGAAATCCTCTATCTTACCCCTCGGATTAGCAGCCTTGAAGGCCTCCATATCGGAGAGCAGAGAAGTACACATCATTTGAGTCGTAAGACCTGAACCAGGTCCAAGCTTCAACATGACCTCTGCATCGTCCTGCAGCTGATCCTCTGTCTTGGGGACTGGTTCTTGGGTCTCTGGTATGTAGAGATACTCCTCAGGCTCGTCCAGCAATCGCTCGTCGTTCAAACGCTTAAGGCGACCCTCGGGCTTTAGGCTGAGAACTGCTTTGGTCGGAGAACCAGAACCGGCGGTAGGTTCATCGCAGTCGAAGAATTCTCCCTCATCGTCGTCCTCCTCCTCAGCTGCCTCCTTCTCCTGGGAACTGGGCCTCCCTCCCTCGGATTTTCTTTTGCCAATTGCCTCTTGTTGCACGCGACGCTCCACGCAAACGTTAAGCATCTGAAGCTTTTGGTGGAGCAGGCAGGTGCGCGTGTCGGGAAATTCAGCGGAAATTCTAGCCAATGGAAAGGTGTAAAGGAAAAGTTGTTATCTGGTGGAGCAGTATCTTAGGTGTTGACATACAATACGTTTAAGGATGGTCTCTGTGAGGTTAAAATTTTTTTATATTTTGATAGTTTGTTTATAATGAAGTGTTAAAGTTTAAATAAAAATAAATAATGAGGATAGCCATCGAGGGCCCCCCCACCCAAAAAAAAAGTTTTTTTTGGGGGTTTAAATTAACTTACCGGGTTCAAATTTTCGATAGCTGAATTTGGATTGTTTTAAAATTAATTTAATGATTATTACATTAATTAGATATTAATTTAATTTTTTGTCTTTTTATTATGAAATATTTTTGCTAAACATAACTTAATTGTTGGATCACACCAAATATATGTAAAGTGTTAACTACTAAAAATAAAAATATTCAAAATATGCTTAAAAACATATTGAAAATTAACTATATTTATTAAAAATTTAAATCCTAACTTAAGTAATTGGGCTTAGTGTTTAATGAGGTTATGCTTTTAAAGGAACTCTAGCTTAGTCATAATCTCTACTAAAGAATTATTCATCTGTCTTCAAGATTTCTTTCTTACTGTCTTTCTTCAGCCCCTGGGCATATCGGTCACATTCTTCTGCCCAATCTCAGCCTGAGCTTAACAAAGGCGGCTCTTGTAAGCCATGAATATATCAGTCTAGCAGAGGTAGCCCCCACTCTTAAGCCAATTGATATTCACGCTCATCACGGTTGTCAACGCGTGCGTGGCCCTCTGGTCTTGCATAGCCAATGAAGTTGGCTTAAATAATGGTGGTGGAGTCAGTAGATGGAGGTGAGTCAGTGGCCAGAGTTCACTGAACTCCAGCTAACCAAAAGTGGAGTCAACTTGCATATAGAGGAGTATGAGTATGAGGATGAGGATGGAAATGTGTGTGCTGCATTAGGGGGAAGTGAGTTATTTGGACCACGGAAACGACAACGACCATGGCCGAAAAAAAAATGCCAGCAGCAACTCTGGAAGCGGGAGCCCTGGAGCCCTGCTGCACTTGGCATTTGCATAAAACTTGCCTTATTAGTTGGAGTTGCGTGGACAGCTGCAGGGAAGTGGCGGCAGCTGCTTAAAAGGTTTTAAAGTGACTAAAATTTGCACTCAGCCGGCTGACAAATGGCTTTTGGGTTTTATTGGCCCAACACTAGCTGGTCATCTAGCCGCCCCAAAAACACTTTCGTTTTAGTTGGTCATGAGATAAAAACATTAAATGTACTCCATGTCATTAATTCCTTGTTTATGTTCAAAAGCCTGGTAACGCCTCCATTCGCATCCTCATCCGCATCATCATCATCCTTATCATCACGAATTGGGCCAATAAACTAGACCGAGTTACGTTTATTTCTGTTTGTGGCCAAAATAACAATTTGCTAGGAAGGATAAGCTGCGGTTAAATGGAAATTGTTTTTTGGCCACACAACAAGAGCTAAAATATTTATGGGGGATTACCCAAAAGCCTATATATTAAAGGCTCTATACTAATATTCTTAAAGTCGGATTTTTAAGAAAGCAATTAATAATTCAAAATCAGAGTACTTGAAAGACCTCTTTAAATATTCTTAAATATTTACCTCCCCTTCAGCCAGAGCCCAAAATTAGTTCTCCTTTTAAAAGCGCCCAAAAATTAATATGCCCCGAAAAAGGCTTCAGACTTTAGACTTCATCAGGTCAATCCCAAAAATTATTATATTTTTTTTTTATTTGGTTTCGTGTTATTCTTGTTGGATGTCGTTTAATTTCTGTAGCTAAGCCGACCCAAGAGATTATCAACCTGCTCACACTCTCCACAAAGTACTAACCCATTTGGCGCTATATAAAGCTCCCTTTATATATACATGCAAACTTTTCAATTGACAACTTTTTCCCCACAAAAAAACTCACTTTTTTTATAGTCAACCTCAAAAATTCTAATCCACTTAAATGCTTAACAGCATTATGTGACCTTAAGCCCAAGCGCCGGCAGAAGTGTGCCCAGCTTTTGTTAAATAAAACTTCAATTAAAACATTTTTTGGGGCGGTCGGGGAGGAGCAGAAGATTGCCCAACCTGACCCAAAGGCAAGTGGACGGAAAACAGAAAATTACCAAAATAAAAACTCAAATAAGAAAAAATCAAGTGGTTGGACCATTGTCTAAAAATGCAAATTTGCCAAGCCAACAAAAAAAAAAGAAAAAAAAAGAGTGAATAATTATGTGGCCAAAACAAAAAGCGACAAAAAAAAAAAAAGAAATGGATTTTGAGGGAGAGGGATAGAAAAATCATTTGCACCTTTCAAGTTTTTCAGCTGAGAAAAACACAAACAAAAAAATTTTAAAGGAATTTTTAGAGAGTTTTAAAAGTGGCTTAAAAATATATACAGTTTAGCACAAATTTTTAAAAGTAATGTAGATTTTTTTCTTTCTGAAAGACATTTTTTTTTTGGCAGCCATTTTGGAGACTGCCATTTTGTTGCTGCACAACTGTACTTCATTCCTTTTTCATTTATTCACTCAGAAGTCTGGTTGTTGTTTTGTGGGGGTGTGTGGAGGTGTGTGGGGAGAGGGCCTATTGTTGTTGCAGTTCTTTCTTTGTTTTCCCGTTGCAATTTTCGCACTTTTCGCGCATTAAAAAATTTAGTGATGCAATTAATACGCAGAAGGAAAACAACAAAAGCAACTGAATGGAGAAAAGTGCCAGAGAGGGACGCACAAAAAAAAAAGGGAATAAAATGGTGCAAGAATTTTTTAATTAAATTTGTGGCCAGACAGTTGAGTGAGAAATGAGAAACGAGCATAGAGCCATACCCATACTACCATCAGGAGAAAAAAAAATCCAGAGAAAATGAGATAGGGTTTTGAGATTGTAAAGGAAAGTAAGAGAGTGGAGGGGAGTAACTGCACAGTGAAGCTTGAAATATTTTTCTGGCCTTTTTTTTTAGTAGTTGGAACTTAGCCACGTAATGCAATTTATAAGTGGAATTAAGGAAGAGACAAGCCAACACAAACCAAAACCCAAAGTGCCATGAAAAATGAAGTCAGGCGCGACCAACAATTGAAACATCAACCTCAGATATTGCATCGCCCCCAGGGGGAAGTATCTGATGGATGCAGGGAGGCGTGACACAGCTGCCGAGGAGGCGGAGAAGGAAGATGGAAATAAAAAACTATCAATCAAAAGACAAAATGTTGATTATTATTTGGGCTGCACCGAAGCGTGCAGTTTAATTATTATTCTGCGGTTTATCCGCAGGCTACAATTGCCAATGGTATGGAAATAATATTCAATTTGCAAATTTCTTGAAGAAAAATGAAGTCCATTCACCTGGTTTGGGTACTCTCTCTTCCCCGAAAAATCACATAATATAACAATGATCTAAAAATACAAAGAATTTTTTCAAAAGAAGCCACAATGACCGCCAAAAAAAATGAAAGGGGGGGAAAGAAAATTGTGTGTCATCATAACTCATGATTATGCAAAAAGGTCAACAGCTTCTTGGCTGACCCTCGAGTCATTGGCCATTGTTTGCCTGGGTTGAGAGAGAGGTGAAAGAGGGTTAAACGTCACGTGCTTGGCTTTTCTGAAAAGGCCGCTAAATTAAATTAAATGGCCAACAGCAAAAAAAACCGCGTCGCGCAATTTTCCTTCCTGGTTTTAGCATTTTGGGGAGTTTTTGTGGAGAACCCTAAAGGGATGCAAAAGGATTTATTTTCGCTACATCTTGCTTTGCCGAATGGCAGCGTCCTTACCGTCTTTTTATGCCTATTTTATGGCCCAAAGGAGCTGTGAGTAAAGTGTCTGGGAAGTGAAGCACCTCGTTTGACAGGCCCAGCCAGGCAGACAGGCAAATTAATCAAAACTAAACTGCCCCAAGGATCTGAACTGGGATGGGGGTATCCTTTCATGGACTGTTGGTTGCCTAACGAGCATGAAACTGAAATCGAAAGTAGCCTGACAAACTGATTGATAAAGCATGCAGTAGAAAAAATTAAAACACTGAATAGGTATCCCCATTCAATTAAGGGGTTATATACAGTTGTACCGCGCAAAAATATGGATTTTTATCGATTTTTTTTTGACACCATAGAAAATATTTATGAAAAATGTTTTACCGACGTTGTTTAGTACATGTTTCTGGGTACTTAATTAAATTTTTTCATAAAAAAATATTACATAACAAAAATGTTATAGCCGAATTCCCGGATCGTCTTTTTTCGATGGTGTCTTGCGGTGGACAAGATTTCTCGAAAACGGTTCATCCGAAATCCAAAATTCAAAAAGTTTAGTTAGTAAATTGTATTGTCTAGTCCGTGAACGAGGGATTTTAAAAATTTTGATTAAAAAAAAGGTTTTTGATTTTTTTTTTTTAAAAGGATTTTCAAAAAAACGGACTAGCTAATATCATAATAAATAAGTGGTCAAAATTTGGTGTTGATCGGATTAGTAGTTTTTAGTAATCTGTCAAAGGTAATTTCCCAAAAAATTTAGTCAATCGCGTTTAAAGTTTCAAGTTTGTTCAGTTTTATATGCAGATAGTGCGCTATAAATAGTTACAGCTTCGGTTTTAATGTCTGATCGTTAAGAATTTTTGTGAGTATTCCCAATAGAATATACTTAAAGAATATGTAATAAAAAAAAAATCGATTTTTTCATTTGTCACAACTGTATATAACCCCTTAAAATATCTATCAGAAAAGACAAGTATATTTTTTTCTGTGCATCCTTGCTTTCACTCTCACTTACTAATTCAATCCTTGACCAACTGACCAAAGAAAGATATGCTTCAGGGGGTGGTGGAAAAAAAAAGAGAGCCCATTGGATGGAGATTTGCCTGCCAGGCGACAGTATTAATTGGGTAATTTATGGCCCGACTGGCCCAGACAACCTTCACTTTTTCAACCTCCACCCACAGCGGCTCCTACAACCCACTTCTCTAACGCAAATTTGTCTTCTCCTATTTGTGTTTGCAGCTCTATGCCGGCACCAAGATGAGACCTGGCCGAACGACAAGAACAACGCACCAGCTCCTGCTACTCCCACTAATCCTCACCACCTGGATTAGTTCGGCCCACGCCCAGTGTCCCTGGCAGAGGGATGTGCCCGATTTGCAGACCAGCTGCATCTGTGCCTACAACCTGGGCCGGGAGCTATCCGTGCAATGTGATCAGGTAGGAGACTACTAAACCAACATCTCTTGGTACCGTAAGTACTAACCCTTCATCTCAGGTGGATTTCCAACAACTTCTGGAGGCAATGAACACCCATGCTCGCCTCAAACCCGTGGATCTGCTTTACGTGAACAACGCCTCCATCCCGGAGCTGCCTGACGGAGTTTTCACCAACCTGAGCCTCCACAATGTCCAGCTCTCGAGCTGTGGCATCCAGCGGATAGCTGCTGGCGCCTTCAAAGGCCAGGAGTCGGTGCTGAGGAATCTGAATCTGCAGGATAATCTGCTCTCCGACGTGCCGGTGGAGGCACTTAAGGTGCTGGGAAAGCTGAATCTGCTGGATCTGTCGAAGAACCAGCTAACTCAAATACCCGATGATGCCTTTACTGGCCTGACCAAGCTCTCCACCCTCAAGCTGAACGACAACAATGTGACCCTGGCCGCTGGCGCTTTTCGAGGCCTGGAGCAGAGCCTGAAGAACCTGAATCTCAAAGGAACCAAACAGCGCCGGGTGCCGGAATGCATCCGGGGACTGAAGAGCCTGGCCTTCCTCGATCTCTCCCAGAACGGCATCAAAGAACTGCCCGGTGCTGGTGGTATTCGGGTGTTCGATGGCCTCGATGCCTTGACGGCCCTCAACCTGGAGAGGAATCTAATCCAGAGTATTGGAGAAACGGCATTCGCGGGTGTCCGAAAGACCCTGAGCTCGCTCAGCTTGCTGAACAACCTGCTGGCCGAGTTCCCCATCGGAGCCGTTCACTCGCTGAAGGAGCTGCGCGTCCTGGACATTGGTTTCAATCTGCTGACCACTCTGCCGGAGGCAGCCTTCCGTGGCAACCCGGGCATCACCCTCCTGGCTCTCGATGGCAACCCCTTGAGCAGTGTACCCGAGGGCGCCTTCACCCACCTGAATGCCACGCTGCGGGGCCTGTCGCTGGGAGGCAGGTTCCTGCACTGCGATTGCAAGCTGCGCTGGGTGGCCGAGTGGATACGGAATGGAGACCTGCAGGTAACCCGTTTCTCTTTAAATATTGGGAGTTTCCATTTTAAAACATATTCCAATTTGTCCATTAAAAACATGACCCTTATCGGGTCTTCTTGCCAAATGGACCATTTCCGATTAGAACACGTTTACAAACTTGCCAACAAGCTCGTTTCATTAACTTGCCAACTGTGTTTCCCTTTTTTGTGCCCTCAGGTAACATCGCGGGAACGGAACCCACAGTTCTGCGGCACTCCCCCTCGCTTCCGGGACCGTGGCTTCTACTCGATTCAACCCGAGGAGCTGAGCTGTCCGGATATAGCCGATGCGGCCCTTCGTGGTCCTGTCGGCCTGGCCGATAACCTGAAGCCCACGCTGTCGGCCTCCCCCGACTCCGTGGAATATGAAACGGGCACGGGCACGGATGCGGGAACTGGAACGAGTACGGCCACGGGTACAGGCACTGCCGCCTCTTCTCCGGTTGGCAGCAGTGTGAGCAGCCCCTCGACTTCAACAACGACACCCACAACGACAACCACAACCACCACTCCGGAGCCAACAACGAAGCGCAGCACGGTGAGTGTTTGGGTGATAAAATAAGGAGGACTCCTGGAGCTTAAAAGGGAGCTAGGAAGGGGAATCCATATCCCTAAAAAGTATACCTACATCGTATTAACAAACATTCCAATCTTGCACTTTAGACTCGTCCACCCACCAAGGCAGCAACCACTGTCTCGGCTACCACCGCCTCGCCAACATCGAATCTTTCGGTGAATGGCACGGGAACAGTCCATGCCACCTCCATCACCACGAGCAGCAGTTCCTCCACCTCGACTGCGGGCCATGGAAATGGCAAACAAGCGCCAGGATGGCGTCAAGGTGTGACCAATGGAAATGGCAACGGAGCAGGGGGGTCAGGTCTCCACAAGCCGCAGAGGCCGCCACTCGTCCTGGGGTATCCTCCGCAGAGGGGAACCCGAATCGACGATGCCAACGAGGTGCAGGTGAAGCATGCCTTCCGACAGGATAGTTCCGTAATCATCCAATGGGATTCCGATACCGCAAACATCCTGGGCTTCCGTGTGGTTTACCGACTCTTTGGCGAGAAGGCCTTTAAACAGGGACCCCCACTGGAGGCCAGCGAGCGGGAGTTCAAGATCAAGAATGTCCCGGCCCAGGAGTGCATCATTGTGTGCGTCATCTCGCTGGAGGAGCTGCATGTAACCCCAGAGACAGTGCCCTATCAGCAGTGCCGCGAAGTGAGGACAGTGGCCTCCCAGGCCTCCAACATGGACAAGATAACGATTGCGGCCAGTGCGGCCATTTGTGGCACCATCATTGTGGCCGTGATTGTCTTCATAGCTGCCAGCAGGTGGGTTCTCCATCTCTTAGCATCTATCCTCTATCCTATATATATATATATTCCTTTTTATTTTTGTTTTCCACCCATGACCATGAGTTATGGGCCAACAACTGAGCCACAGACAAAGCCAATTGCTGTGCAAAGTGGCTAGCTGATTTATCGCAGGTCCTTAAGTCGTTTCCACATTTCTATAGAGTCGTTCTTTTATATCTTCCCCCCTTAGTAGTAGTGCGTAGAATTTGTTACGCTTTGGCTCTATTTATGCTCCATATCTACCAAACACTTAATCATCTTCAAGTATAACCTCATTATGCCCTTCCTAAAGATTCTTTGGTTATATCGAGCCATTGGAACAATTCCTAAATGTTCTCGATAGCCATTGTCTACTCTTCTCGAAATGACTCTATTTTAAGCTATTAAATATTATGCAATTATTGGCTCGCAAGGGTATTAAGACCCCCTCTAATTCCCCTCCTTTCCATTCGAAACTCTTACAGGCGCTCCCGCAAACTGCAGAACAACCAGCAGAAGAGCCCGCTGCCAATTGGAGGTCTGCCCGTTAATTGCTGCGGTCCGACCGGTTCACCCGGACCACTTGGCTCCATTGCAACGCTATCGGCCTTTAACAATCACAAGGTGAGCTCCCATTCCATTACCCCACAGCTTGTATCTGGCTTCAAAGTTTGCCAAGAAATTGTTTCTACTCCTCCTGGCTGGCTCCCGGCTGGCTGGCTGGCTGACTAACTGACTGGCTGATTGTCCGGATAGCTGACTTGGAGGTTTGGGAATGGGTTAGACCATGACTGCTGGAAATTGGCAGAGTCGCGATTTGATGACTGCTGATTGTATTTATGGAAGACAACAAATTAAACGTAGCGCAGCGCGGATAAATACTGTCCAGATTGCCAATCTTCAGCTCACTTCTTGGCAAGGTTGCTTGCCAAAAATGTCAGACAAAATAATGGCTGATAAGTGCATAGTTTCTAGGATATATAGTAGTTTTATAATTTGTTTACTTCATTATCTATTTTCCAGGAATGGGATCAAGTCTCGGCCTACAGTGGTCGCTCCATACCGCGTCCTCGCATTTATCCTGTTGACCAGCCGGACGACATGCGTAGCCACTTCTCCGGAATGCCCGGCAAGGTGGGCAAGTCAAGGTGAGCTGACACGACCTTCCATCCATTGAACGAATATTTGCTTGACCCACAATGCCAGCTTGCTGCATTTTTGTTTGCATTTTTATTTATTTGCAAATTTTTCATTTATTTTTATTAAATTTTTGTTAAACCCATCCCATACTCATGCCCAAACACAACACCTCACACACACAACTACAGCAGGTCCTTGGCGGATGGACAGTCGCAGCACAGTTTCTCGAATAATTCGCATCGCGGCTACCTGAACAGCGCCTTCCCCTCGAACTTGGTGAACTCCCGACCGGAATTGCGACAATCCCGGCAATCCCTGGCCGCCGCCTCGGAGCGCATGTCCCGGGCCTCCTACGCCGGCTCCATTCACGGGGGCGGTGGTGGTGGCAACGGCGTCAATGGCGGAGTACCGGGTGGTCTGCCCGTTACCAGCCTGATGGCCATGAGCGGAATGGTGGGTGGTGGTGGACCAGCCAGCATCGCCTCCAGTGCCAGAAGATCGCGTCCCCGATCCAGATCACGCGAACAGCTGAACGCCACGCACATACATAACCATCGACCGGGAAGTCGGTAAGTAGAACACCAAACACCTCATCCAAAGAGTCCAACACCCACACACCTCTCAGTCACACCCACAAGTCACACCATCTGTCGCCGCCGGATAGAAATCAAAAATCGTAACTCCAAAGGCGATTATCACAAATCACACACGTCTTGAATTACACTTTCAATTCTTTTCTTCAAGTTTTGATTTTAAGATTGTTTGTTTCTTTATTTACGCTTTTGAAAGTTTCTTAATTGAATGAGTTTTTTATGGCTTTGGTGGGTGATTAAATTAATTAGCTTTTTTATGTATCGGGCGGGTCTTTTTTTTGGCAATAGAACGTCTTAAAATTCTCTTAAAGCTCCCATTTAATAGCCTTTCAATGATTTATTTGTTTATATATTTTTGGCTCTGAGTTCCTAGAAATCGTGGGAATAAAAGAATATTATTTCAAGTAATTAGTAATTCCCTCTCCCATCTTCAACCAAAATAAAACTTAAACACTTTCGAACAACTTCCTCGACAAACTCTCTTGTCTTGATTGGCAACTATCCATGGCTGCAATCAAATCAAACTTTCATTCATGTACAAAAATTCTGTAACCAACAACTGTCTATAACATGCATTCCTTTCACCACTAAACCAACCAACCATCCATCTTAGCAAACCCCCTTCCTCCACTGCAGTATAAATTTTCTTGGATTCGATTAAATTTAATTGCGTTTCGCTTGGTTTCGAGCACTCTGGACTACTGGGGGCTTAGTCAGCTCAAAAGGCAATCATTGGGCAATGCGTATTGCAGTGAATCTCTGATATAATCGATGGCCAACTGGCCTCTTTACTATTCCAGATACTCGCAGGCGGGATCGACACACACCTTGAACAACTACTGCGACACATCGGACAATTGGACGGATCACGACATGGACATCTATATGGCCCGCAATCCGACGACGCGGAACGGTTTAGTGCCATTATGAGGGCGGCTCAGCTTATCCTGATATTTCAATGTTGTATTAAACTGGGATGGCATTTTCTGACAATATCTGACGCCGGCTATTGAGGCGGGGAATGGCCGATGTCAGCAACAGCAACAGCAACAACAGCAACAGCAGCAGCAACCAATGCAACATTTGAGGAATGAGCGACATCAACAACGACATAGAAACAATCAGCAATTGGAGCAGCCATATCAGTCAGTACAGCAACAGCAGCAACAGCAGCCGCAACATCAACAACGATTACAGTACTATATGCCACAGACGGAGCGTTGCACCTCACCCCCTGATGTGGTGCCTCGAGCAGCCAATTTCCATAATAGCAACAGTAATAATAGCAACAAAATAGGCAGCAACAACAGCAGCAACACCAGCAACCTGCAACAGTTGCCGCTGGCTGCGCTGACAGAAGCTCTGGTAGATGCAACACCAGACGCTGCAGCAGCGAGTGGCATTGTTGTTGAGAACTATTTTAACGAATATGAACGTCAGGAAATCATTTATCATCATCCCACAAAAGTAGCAACAGCAGCAACAGCAACTGCAACAACTGAAGAAGTGGCAGCAACAACAGCACGCCACCAGCAAGTACCCCGCAGCAATGCCTTCCGTTTACAGTTACCCGCAATGGCAACAGCAACGACTAACAATATTTTATATAATAATAATAATAATAATAATCTTAATCATGATGCAACCAATTATAAGACGCATACATTTAGTGATAGCTGTAATTGTACATGTAATTGTAGTCTAAGCCACGAGGAGGAGATGGATGACGAGGATGGGAAGGAGAAGGTGTTGGCCACTGTGACAACAGCGGCAGTGGCACTGGAGGAGGAGGAGGATGGCAGCTCATCCTTGGCGGCCAGCACTTCGGTGTCAAGCATAGAACAAGTAAGACAGAAGGAGGAGGAGCAGGATGTGTCCTTGTCGCTGAACTTGACATTGGCTGACACTGAGACACCACCAGAGGCTGCAGACCCATCTGGAGACAGGGCCATGCCTTGAGTGCCTCCTAGATGCCGCTGCTGTTGTCACCCCCGGCCTCTAACAATTTGCATAATGCATAACAATTGCGATGGCGAAACATGCAAAACACCTTAAAGTATAATCCAGAAAGAATAGATATTTTTGTATGCTGTTTAGAGTGCAATACTACAATACCCCACACATCCGCTAGTTCTTTATGCAATTAGTTGATTGATCAAAGAACTACAACCTTAAGTCAATATGGTACTAACTAAACACAATAGCTAATAGATCGGATTAACGAATGTCTAGAGTTTAGAGTTTAAGGAATCAAGGATCAATTTGTATGCTGGGATAGACAGGCATAGAAGTCGCTGGAATAGCACAAAAAAACACAAGCAATATGTAAATAATTTAGAAGAAATACCAATAATGTAGTTTATTCAAAATTATCATTTCTAGCTCAATTAAAATTTGTTTAAATAATCATTTCATCGTTTTCTAGTCCACAGTTTTAACTTTCTTGAATACATTTTTTCAATTTATGATTCTAAGTTTGTCTATCCCAGTCTCGAATCGATTCACCCACATTCCAGTAGTTTTTTGAATCAACCAAACCATTCTACTGCCCAAAAACAGTTTTATTTTAACTCTCATTGAAGTCAGTTTCATTTCGTTTTTGTACAGAAGCTTCAATTGAAACCTATCGTGCTAAGTTCTTTCTTAACTTTTATGATTTTAATAAAAATTTACCTTTTAAAATTGAAACCGTTTTTAGTTATTTATTATTTTGAATCAAATATCGGCCCACTTGTCTCAGACAAGCGTCTGTATATCGTTGTATATAGAAAGTATTTAGGCTTAAGCGTTTCAAACGATTTTCGGTTTTTAGCCTTATCATTATCATTATTATTGTTGGAGGTGGGACGAGTCCGGATGAACAGTCCGGAGGAGTCCGAGCGAAACACAGTTGACAGTTAACAATATTTAGTGCCCGTGGGCAGGAGCTCTCCCCAGAGTTCCAAAACAACGCCCATGCGAGGCACTAAATACTTAGTGAAGTAAGAAAATATCCATATATATATTATATTCTAAACGTTATTCCTAAGAACTATATAGTTACAGACAAGGCTTTGAGCATTAGACAAGTAAGCACAATTTAGGTGGAAAACGGGAGCAATTATTTAGAAGAAACCACAAAAACAAATATTCCAATAAAACTTAGGCAATAAATTTCAATAAAAAAAAACAATTTAGATTTCCAAATCGATGAAATGTTTCACAGACAAGTAGAAGAATCAATATCCCCAAAAACTAGTGTGTAAAAAATTAAATCAATTTTAGTGTTAAATTAAAACTTAATTAAACTGCCTTAGCACATGGAGAAGGAACGAAGCACTTGCTTGAATTTTGTTTAGCGGCACTTTAAGAACACCAACCAGAAACGAGGAATATTTTAGGAGGTAACACCAACACCAAAACTGCCAAACAAAAGTATGGAAACCTGTAGATTATCTCCAGACGAAGACACCAAACGACAACACCACCCAAGCCCCCACAGTTGGGCTTCTATCGATGAGAGTCCCATTATGAATGTGCGTTATATTGTTACTTGTAAATCGAATTCAAATGTTAACTTTGCGGCTTCACAGATTAGCAAACTAAATTTACTAGAATATTTACGAAACGTTTCGTTTTTCGGATTTAGATTCGTACGCATCGAGTTCCAAATAAAGCATATTTTTGTTACGACTTTTGGTTTTTGGTATTCTGTCTTTTATTTTGGTGTTCACTTACCCGGGCACTATCAAGGAATTATCCCATAGCAGCCGCAGTTGACGAGTGAAGGCGGCCCACAGCTGGGCCATGCCCTCGACACCTCCCAGGTGGGCGTGGCAGTTGGCCAAGAGGCAGCTGAGGCGGCACACCAAAGAGTCCGCAGCAGCACTCTTGATGCGCATGGGATCGAACTGAAAAGTATATTAAAGGTTTATATTAAAGTAAGTATTTTTGTACATTAAAAAATCATTATGTTTATAAAAAATGAATTTAAAAATTCGTGGATCAATAGAATGTTAAAGAACCTTAAAGTCAAAAATACTATAGAAACATTAGTCTTGCAAGTGTACGGAAATGACAACCTAAGCCCCAGAGATCCCTATATCTTTGCCAAATTCTTATGATTCTTTTTAATTTTTTTTTAAAAAATAAAAAAAAAATTTTTTGAAATGATGGGGTCTAGGGCCATGCTTTTTGATTATTTCTGGGTTATCAAACGACTGGTGGATTGATTCTCCACAAATCTGCATCAAAATCTAGAAACGAAAATTTTTAGATTTTTGTCCATTTTCTGAGGGATACCCTTCAAAGTATGAAAATGATGGGAGGGCCGCAGGATGGTATATCTTTGGCAATTCTTATGGTTTGGGATTACTTAAATGACTGGTGGATGTTTTCAATCTTCAACTGGATAATTTTTTAGATTTTTGTATTTTTGGCTTAAGTTTGAAATTGGGCCTTGTATATTTTGCAATTCTTATCGGATTCTTGAGAGGATTACCTTAAATGACTGGTGGATGGATTTTCCACAAATCTGCATCAAAATCTAGGAATGAAATATTTTTTAGATTTTTTGTCCATTTTTCTGAGGGATGCCCTTCAAAAGTATGAAAATGCTTGGGAGGGCCTCTAGGGCCCACAGGGATGGCTATATCTTTGCCAATTCTTATCGGATTCTTGAGAGGATTACCTTAAATGACTGGTGGATGGATTCTCCACAAATCTGCATCAAAATCTAGGAATGAAATATTTTTTAGATTTTTTGTCCATTTTTCTGAGGGATACCCTTCAAAAGTTTGAAAATGCATGGGAGGGGCCTATGGCCCACAGCGATGGCTATATCTTTGCCAATTCTTATCGGATTCTTGAGAGGATTACCTTAAACGAATGGTGGATGGATTCTCCACAAATCTGCATCAAAATCTAGGAACGAAATATTTTTTAGATTTTTTGTCCATTTTTCTGAGGGATGCCCTTCAAAAGTATGAAAATGCATTAGAGGGCCTCTAGGGCCCACAGGGATGGCTATATCTTTGCCAATTCTTATCGGATTCTTGAGAGGATTACCTTAAATGACTGGTGGATGGATTCTCAACAAATCTGCATCAAAATCTAGGACCGAAATATTTTTTTGATTTTTTGTTCATTTTTCTGGGGGATGCCCTTCAAAAGTATGAAAACGCATGGGAGGGGAACTACAGAGGTCTACAGAGGTCTACAGAGGTATGGCCTACAGAGGTATTTAATATTCTACTCACCTTATCCTTAAAGTTCTTCTTTGAATATGGATACAGGGCCATATCTGGATGCATATCAGGAAACAGGTAGGCCAGCAGTTCGCTCAATTCGCTCTCTGTCATGGGCCCTGGCAGACGCTTCGTTAGACCAGCTTGTGACGGCAGATTGTAGCTGCGATCTCTGCGTGGGGATAGCTGGTGGGAGGTGATTCGATCCAAAGGATTTGAGGCGCCTTCAGCTCCGCTACTGATACCCGAAAAATTTCTACCCACATACGATTCCAACGATCGAGTAATCCCAGCAACCGATTGGTAATCTTTCAGACAACAGGAGAGGTACGAGGAAGCCTCGACGGACAGGTAGACCTTTCCCAGTGGAGCTTTCGATGGAACAAAATCGGTTCTTTGCTCACTATCGAAGGCTACATGCTCCGATAACTCTGGCCAAGTGTAAACCAAGTAAATTTCCGTGCACGACTCCGGAGTATAGCCGTGTGGCAGAGCGTAAAAGTGTTGAAGTTCAAGCTGGAACACCTCGCCATCCACGACTATATCCTCGGAGCTGAGACCATGATCGAAGGGTACATACATGGGCATGCGAATGCGCATGGTATCTAAGGCGTAGGTGGTGCAAACCGAAATCTTGGCCGCCTGGTTATAGGAAGAAGGTACCTTTTCCCGGAACAGTGTGAGCAAGCCCATTAGAAAACGGCACTCTGGCGGAGCTCTCTCCAGCCCAATCAGCCTAAAGTTAGTCCTCAGAGCAGGTGCCAAGGCCAAGCCTGTGTAGAAATTCCACTTGGGATCGTAGATCTGTACGAATATAGGCACCACACTCTGAACTTCCGCAGCCACCACAGCAGCGGCGCTCAAAAAGAAATTAAACTCCGAAGTGGATTTCATGTATTTAAGATTGGGGCTGGCAGGATGCATAACAATAAACCTTCTCAGGCCGTAGATCCTGGCCAGCGTGTGCAGGTCCTGCGTGTTCCTTATTGGTGGCCCAAAACTATTTCCAATGCTCATCAGATCTTCGTGGCAAATGGTGCGTTGCAAGCATGTATTTTCCTTGATCTCCTCCCGTGCTCCCAATTCATCCTCCTCCAATATGGCTTGATGGTACTCCACTTCAATGCCATTCGTATTCATTAGTATGTCCAGTTTCTCTTGTTGCACCTTCCACTTGCAACGAAAGATTTCCTCGGGTCGCAGACTCCGGCCTACGTCAGAGTCGGAGGAAACATCCCATTTTTGGAGTATTTCGCCCAGCTGGGCATTGAACACCTCCCAATCGGAGTCGGCGCTAAAGTTTTCTCTATAGAATTCGTTATCATCGATTTCTTCGGCCATTATTAAGATTATTTTAACGCGTATTAAAAAGTCAACAAACAAAAGTCGCAGACAAAACAATGACCAGAGCTGCCAGACCCAAGAATTTTGTTAATCAGCTGTTGGTTGTGCCTGTTGGTTTTTAATAAGTGTTGGAAAACGATTAAGACTTCTTTAAAAAATAAATTTAATTTAAAAATTAATAAAGCTTTAAAGAGCCATCTATTATTATGCAAAATAAAGTCTAATCAGTCGAATCTAATTATCGGCTATTAAGGTAGCTTTAAAAGTCTTAAATTAAAACCATTCAATAAAATATTTGCCTAAATCCATGTCTTAATTCAAACACAAAGCATTAATTATATTACTTCAGTTAGTATACAATTACTAAAATAAAAACAAAAGCTAAATTTGGATTGAACATGTCTTCGTTTCTTGATTCTGTTTGCTAGTCTTCTGCCACTATATAATTTTTGTTTCCACTTGATTTCTTGAGGGAGCTATCTCTTGAGTTCGAATGAATACTTCGTTTGTTGTCAGCCGTTTTGTTTGGTTGTTTTTTATTAATTTACATCAATCCATTCACTATGTAGTTGGTGCTTAAACGATAACAGCTCTCTATTTAGCCAACCACGAGAGTTCCCTCATCGGGGAATTCGTGGGTGGGCACCTCCAGATTAAGGGGCGCCGGTCCCTTGCGGATCCTGCCCGAAGCGTCGTAGTGGGATCCGTGGCAAGGGCAATAATAGCCTCCAAAGTCACCGGCATTCGCGATGGGCACACAGCCAAGATGCGTGCACACACCAATGACCACCAGCCACTCAGGCTTGATCACACGTTGCTGCAAAATAAACATAATTATTATATTTATAAAATCTCGAAGATTATTCTAATACTACTCACATCATCGGTTTCCGGATCACGGAGTGTGGCGGTTGGCACCTGACGCTCAGTATCGATCTCACCGGCAGTACGGTGACGGATGAACAGCGGCTTTCCGCGCCACTTGAACGTCACCGACTTGCCCTCGGGGATGTCCGAAAGCTTGATCTCGATCTTGGCCATGGCCAGCACATCGGCGGTGGCACTCATCGATCCCACAAAGGTGTTGACCAGACCCTTGGCCGCATACGCGCTTCCAACAGCCGCGGCTCCGACCATCAGGTAGGAGAAGGCCTTGCGCTCCTCGGCGGACTCATTACGACGACGGCTATCCTTGACGGAGTCACGACGATAGTCGGTGAAGTCTGGCACCTGCAAGTCGGTGTGTCCCTGGCGGTTGGCTGAAAAATAAATGAGTGAGTGAGTAAATGATGTCACTTGTGGTTGGATTCTGTTCCTGGTTGTGTTCCCGCTGTGACTACAGTTTTAACTGGTAACTGGTTAACCACCTGTTAAGAGGTATTACAATACTATAGTATTTCTATTGTTTTTTCATAAACAATTAGAATTAACCTTCCTTGAAATGTTAGCCCTGTAGCGATGCATTTTAAGCATCTTGTTTACATTTTAGTTTCAAAACATTTTCTCAATTATTTTTATATATTAATTGACCATATTCCTTAACACCTTTTAAGGAAGAGATGCCCTATATTGCGATTCCTAGTCTCCATCCCCTCCTTGCGAATAGTTGTTGTTGTTGGACGAGGTTATGTTGAAATTACGTAAGGAAGTTTGCCAATTCTCCTCCGTGGTGTCTGTAAACCGCTTCCTAACTGGTATTCCTTGTATTTGAAGGGTTTTAATAAACTTTTCCCTCTTCCATTCATTATGTAATGATTGTGTTTTTCTGCCTGCTGGGCCTCCTCGCCGAGTTCCGAAACCTTACCCATGGAGTTGATGGCCACACCGGTGGCCTTGAGGCCGGTGGAAATAGCCTGGACACCGCCTCGGACGTAGGCTCGCGACACGGCGTTCAGCATTTTGTGTGGGTATACGTTTGTCGGATGAAATAAATCACAAAAATATTCAAGTCGAAAATTTCGACGTTCGTCGCTATTTGCCTGCTGAGCACAGGGTTGCAAAACGATGGGACAGGGCTGCCATGTTTTTTTTGTCAGCTGATAGCAATGCTGCCGGACTGCAAGGCACAGTGGTTCATTTTGTCAACTGTTTTTTCTTAGTTTGTCAATTTTTTATAGAATTTGATTTATATTTTTAATATTTTATTATATTTTTAGTTGAGGGCTTATTTTTGTCAGCCCCTCTTGGGCTTGGAGAGTGATGAGAGAGCGTTGCCATATCTGTCTGTTCAATGTACTACTAGCGCCATCTATCTTAGAAGTTTATTTTTTAAAAATATTTTTCAGGTGAATTTTAAACTTGAATATTTACCTTAAATAAACTTGCGAAAGCTGGCAGTAAGCATATCTCAGCATCCTCAAAAGTAGTGTTACTTTTAAAAATACTTCTTACATTTTTAATAAATTATAAATTGAAAACATTTAATGAAAATTAGAGATTATTTTATTCTAATTTTCTTATTTAAAAAACAACTTTATCTTGGTTGCCGAATGTGTTTTATGCTCTACAGTAAAATAAATTTTAATAACAGGCCTAAAACGTGAAAAAATATTAACCTTCCTTTGAATTCATCTGCATTTAAAACTTTTTCAGGCTATTTCCTCTGGTTTTCTGAATTAAAATAAAGTTAATTTTGTTTCAGAATGTTAATAAGAATCTAGAAAATATAAATATACTATTCCCATTACTCGTATTTAAAAATTGCTGTATAAAAATCGCTCTAATACATCATATATTTGAAAACAACCATAAACTAATAAGACTCTTTAGTTTTTAATATAATATCATTTTCCAAGTACTCTTCATTAGATTGTTGCCTAGAGATATTTTCTGAATTTGTCAAATTGCATTTTATTTACCTTTCCATCTAACCCTTTCATCCCCCACTTGCAGCATCCCAGCATTAGTGCCACCCCTGTTTGAAAGAAAACTACCGTCCAAATTAGCAACTGCAGCGGCTCAGCTTTTCCCAGATGATGAAAAAGGGGTTTCCATGACAAACCGGTTACACTCAAAAGAACGACATTCAGACCGGAGCTTCGCTCCAGAGATGGAAAAGCCAACCACCGAGTTTCCAACGTTTTTCCACTGCAGTTTCCCATTATGATGTCACTGATTGGACTCCGCTCGCATCCCCCGTTCCCCGTTCGGGGTGGATTCGCTTAGCTTAATTAATAAGCGAACCTCTTGAGTTATTGTTGGCAATTTACAAATCGTTCCCTGGTTGATATCATTCAACGCATAAAATGCCAATAAAAAATTGCATAAAAAATGGCGATGGGGTATGGGAATTTGTTATGCGCATAAAAGTAGGCAACCAAAATTTGGCGAAACTTTAAAACCAAAAAAAAAACGTCCTCAGCTCCGGAGTTAAGGCCGTAAAAAGCGAGAAGAACTCTCCCACAGCCGGCTGAAATGTAATTCCTCTGGCGCCAGCCCTGTGATTATCGAAAGTAGTTCTTTTTGATGTCGAAAGTTTGCTGCCTTCCCGCCTACTCCTCCCCCTTTGTAGGTGGCAAGTGAAAGTGAAAGCGAAAGGCGAATGTCGGCCCCCGTATCCGTCTATTTTCCCAAAAATGTGGAAAGAGGGGGGGGATGGGGAGGGAAAATCTGCGCACATAACAGTGCCTCTATGTACTCTGCCACAGGCACACACACACCGAAGCATCCAAAAGGGGGGGCAGTACGGTTGCAGAGCTGGGGCAGGAGGTGGCAGCAAGGAAAAGTGCGTGAATTTTTGCCAAAAAAAAACCAAAAATAAAATTAAAATTTAAGAAGACTAATGCTGAAGAAATACTCTTTTTTTTTAATTTTTTTATTTAATATATATTTTTAATATAATAATAATAAAGTTTTTACTTCCTCATCTTATTTTTTAATGACAACCAGAAATTCCAAATTTAATTTTTTGGCAGTGCCTAGGACAGAAAAGTTAAAACTATGCCGCGTAGGCGTCGTGGCAACAACAGTCTCCCACCTCCCACTCCCCCCGGCCAACCACCAATTCCCCCCATTCTGCTCCCCCGCATCCTAACCGCATCCTTCACTCCAATTTAACTCTGTCAGGCTTCGGCTGCGTTACACTTTTCACCAACTTTTACATGGGAAACTGGCGCCAACTACAACAAGAAAAGCAACAACAAACATACAACAACAGTGGGCCAAGTTACAACCCTGCCTCAGGACAGTTGCCTCCCGCTTTTGGCCACCAGCCCCCTTTTCCCTTTAGAAATTTTAGTGTGGCGTGTGCAGCATTGCGGCTGCGGCAGAAGCAACAAAAAAAAAATACTTTTACACAGAGAAAAATTATAAGATTATTTCTTAAAAAATGTATAATATTTTGTTATAAAATAAAAGACAATATTTTGTTTTAACTATTTGTAAAAAATATATATTTATTTTTAAAAATATAAGAACTATTTTCCTGAAAAATTAGTTTCCCAGTGGAAATGCGACGACTTTTCCTGCTTATCGCAACATCAGCCAAGCATAAAGCTCAGCCTAGCACCCACCCCCGCTCTGGGGCACTACCCTCCACCTCCCCCTACATCTCCCACTCGTTCTACTCCCTAAAATCCACTCATCCCCTTGCTGGAAAAGTTGAAAGTGGAAAATTGTGCGAGGCAGGCGAAAAGTTTTGTGCGGCTCCATGACTGACAGTCTTCCACAGATGCCAAGGCGCTGCCACGCCTACTCCCACGACGAGTCCTTGCAGTGCCCCGGTCACCCCTTTACCACCCACCCAACAAGCTCCATTTTCTCTAAGAACGAAAATTAAATGAATCAGAATCATCTGTGCAGCATCAGGAACCACCGTAGAGGATCTGGGAAATTCCGAGTTAAGTAAAGCCCTGTGGCATGTGCAGCGGTGCTTTAGATCCTAAAAATTCGGCACAGCTGGCGGTCATTTATGTGCTCCTCTCTTGAATCCCCGGACCCGGAGCTTTTTGCATTTAAAATTATTATATCTTAGCCGGGCTCAAGTCGGGGCCATTTTTGGGCAGTCGGATTAGGTGACCATGACAATGGACCCGGCCTGTTTGTTTTCATATTTTATTGGGATGGATCCGAGGGATGTGGGCTTTAAGGAGTGTGAATAATGATGTTTCATTGTCTGTTTTTTAAAGGGGAATACAAGTCCTACGAAATCAGTTCAAATGTTAATGGTAGGCTCTTTCTTGCAAGTGGGTTTTTGCGGTTTAAAGTAATACATACTGAGGTTTGGGGCAGGTTGAAATAAATAGTATAAAATAATAGAAAATAAATAAAATAATAAAATAAATAATAAATAAAAATAAATTTTGTTAGAGATCCATATAACAAGAAAATAAATATTAAGGTATGTATTACTAGACCTCTTATTTTGGCTAAAACACTAGTCTATTTTTGTGTTATATTTTATGTACTTATATTAAATATATTAAATATTTGTCAGGTATCCTATAATATCAAGTAACACATATATTTTTGTCCTAAATTTTCCATCCTATTTCCCAACATACCAACATATATCCATTTCCGATCCCCAACTCCCCATATCTTGGTCCTTATCTGCTTGCCAGCTTGAAAGTTTGTCAACAACTCTCGCCCTGCCTTGGGGCTAAGCAGCAACAAAAAAAAAAAAAGAATAAAGTTCCTGCGGCAGGATACGTTTTTATTTTAGGTTTAAGGCGGGAACGAAACCTGCCCTAAATTCGGCCAAGCGGCTTAAAAAGAAAAGCAACCAAAAGAAAAATCGTCAGGCACGCGCAGCAGGAAGGCATCCTGAGTTCCCAAAGAAAGGAAACGAAAACGTTGCGTTTTTCCCTTCCCCACTCTACCCAACAGATTGCATGAAAAACAGGAAATATTTGGGGTTGGGGCTTGGGGGACACATTCTTTTTGGCGGAGGCGCAGCACGCATAAATCTACGGCCCAAATTACATTATTTTGTCATTTTCATTGGGGCGCCTCCCTGGGTGTATTATTTTTTTTTTCAGCCTGCTGCAGTGTCCTGTGTGGTCCTGTGCCCAGCCCGCCAGGCACATAAAACTCAGTCGAAAATAAACTTTCAAGAAAATATACCCCACGCACCGAACCGAGTACAACAAAAAAAATGCAAAAGCTCTAGGGCAAAAGTTTTCCCGGCAAATAAAAAAAATAAACCAGGAATACAGTCGCGAGTACATTATATGCAAGCGGAAAAAAGAGAAAAGGGGGGTTGGCGGGGTGACTTTTGGGGTTGGGGCTTTTGTTGGGGTTTCCACATTGCCTGGGGTTGCTGCTGAAAGTGAAAGTAAATGCAGTCGCAGTCGCAGTCGCTGTCGCTGTTGCTGTCTCCGTCGCAGTCGCAGCAACGCTGACTGAGCTGCTTTCCCCCCATTTACCATTGAACCCCCCTACCACCCTTCCACCTCCCTCCACCTTCTCTCATTCTCTCTCTCTTTCTGTTTTATTATCCTGCAAGTATCCAAGGACATTGGGGCCATTAAAAATGAAGCAGCAAAAGCTTTCCTTCGAAGCCAACTTTCTTGAGACCAACTGCAACTTGGCGACTTTTCTCCGCCTCTCTCAACCGCACTCTCTTGCGCTTAAGCTTTCGCTCTCACTGCTCTCGGAATTTTCTGCATTGTTTATAACTATTCTTGGAAAATGCGCTTGCGTTGGCTCTCTCTCTCTCTAGCTCTGTCGCTCTTGGGGAACTTTCACTTTCCTCGACAGCCTTGTCCTTTGCCTTCAACTTTCGCTTTCACCCTGAAAGTTCGACGACGTTGCTCCTTCTCTATCGCGGCAAGTCTCTCTTTGTCTCGCTCTCACTCTGACAACTTCCTGTGTGGGCTTCCGGTTTTGTTTTTACAACTGATAAGGCGTCCTGCCGGCACTTTGGCCGCCCCCTTCTGTGTCCTTTGAGCCTCTGTCCACCCTCTGTCGCTCTGTCTCTCTTGTTCGCTCTTGGGAAGACGACCAGCAGGCGCCAGTGTCTGCTTCTTCTTTATGTTAGTGCTTTTATTATGGCTGTGCGTTGCAAGGATCA